GAAAAAAGCATTTTTAATAATATACTATACATTTTCAATTGTATTGATAAACAGAATTGCAATAGTAGAAGTGGCGCTAGCTGTGTATATCAGATATGTATATAGCGTTTACATCACGTAAAGATACATATGTAAATATATTTATATTTTAAACGTACATATATATATAATATAAGCTTTTTTACCATTCCTTCTTCCATTATATTTTGACTTCACCAGTTTCTAAGCTTCTCTGTCGTTTTTATCGCAAATTTAGTAAAACAAAAGCTTGCTGCGAACAATAAGCCATTAATAATCCGCAAAAATGATTAATTACTTGTTGAAAATTTTCTCCTGTCCATCAAAAACAACACCATGCTGTCTTACTCAAACCATGGAGCGGCATGTCCCCATTGCATTAGTAGTTGACAAGTGGTCACCCATGCCGATTATAAAATCCGTTTGTGATTGCACTTTCATATTCGAAGTAGTGCGCATGTGCGGGCTAATGCACCTTCGTTTGCTGCTCGTAGGTGTCTCGCACAAAGCAGCCATGCTGTTATTCTATTATTGCTTCAGCATCCAATGTGCTTAGAACTGTATAAAATTGCGCGCTGCAGCCACCACCCGACATTCCGTATTCTGCCGTGAATTTTGTGCTGGCAACTTCTTGCTACAATTAGTTGGTGGTGGGTTTGTTCGTTTCCGGTAAGTAGTTGGTGCARCTCTTCCATGGCACTAGTAGCGTCTATTTGCCCCTGAGAATAAATATGCTTTACCCCTCCTAATTATCCGAAACCACCTTACCGACAGAAGGGGCACTATGTATACAACTAATCGCCAAGAGATGTCACCAAAAGAGCGCAAATAGKTATTACTTCTTCGTTTATCGACAAGCTAATACATATTTTAATTATTAAAGATTAAATTAATAATACTTGAAGTATTAAATTACTATTATAGAAATGCTGAGTATAATAAAATTATTTTCTTCGCGTGTTTTTGGTACTGGCGAGCAAATAACAACCAAAATGTTCAGTGCTATGTCCTTSCAAGATTTATATATCACACTGCGATATTTATTTCGAGATATCAGTAACTAATATCAGCGTAATAAATGCTCATTACCCTCAAAAGCTTTAAATATAAATAAATCWGAATTGTTTATTGACAAAACTCACYCAAACAWGCGGAAWTCACGAACAGATATGGAAATGAAAGTTTCAATTTTAATTTTACTAATAATCAATTATATTGTACTATACAAAAGTTATACAGATACAATTCCTTTCTTATGGAATTCTGCGTATTGTCGCGTCACATTTGGTCGAATTGGTTTGTGGATCATACCATTTAACAATTTTTACTTTGGTGGACTATTCATCAGTGCTTTAGATCAGTGATGTTGACTGACTTCAAAGAAGCTGCCGGTGTGCCCGTTCCCATAACCGTCAGCACCRTAGTAGTTGCCTTCATGATTATATCCTTGAGGATGGTGAGCATGGCCAATTTTCTTGACAACAGC